AACAACAACAACAACAACAGTACTACTGAGAGATAAGCATCTGGAGACTCATCTCTCAGCTATTCAGTTGCACACACTTTATATATACAAAAATACTTGTTAAAATAAAATCAGTCTTTTCATACTATTCCAAACTGCTTGAAAATTTTAAAAGACTGGTAACAAATTTTGAAAGAGTGTCTGATTCATTACAGGGATTCTAAAACTGAAAAACAGCATCAGCTACTAGACAGAACTCTCCTACTTTTATGCATTCATAAATCATTGCATTTCTTACAGGGAGGCAGCTCAAGGGGCAGGAGTGCACGGGAGGGAAGGACACAGGGAAACTATGGGAGGAAGCGAGAGGGGAGGCTGTTGCATTGTGGTAAATTGTAGTCAATATCATGAGACACAGCGTATGTGAACTGCTGTACGGAAAGTGAATTTGCTCTGTAAACTTTAACTCAAATCAAAATTTTCCTTTTAAAAAAAGACTATTCAGCAACCTATTTTTTTTTTTTAATTCCAGTTCTGATTTTTTTTATTGTGTAAAAGCTATAGAATGAATTTGAACATACCCAGAGACACAAATAAAGCATGGAAACTTCCTAAACTTTTTTTTGGGTACAAGTTTAATAAATTATTGTATCTTCAAACTTTTACTAGAATGATAGGTGGAAAGAGAGTAAAGATTTTGTGGCTTTAGGTCCACAAAAACTCTAGTTCACATCACAGCTTCATTTTCTAACGGTCTGTCTGAGCTATTTTATCTGTAAAATAGAAATAATGGCACTTACCTTGTAAGGCTGCTGTCAGAATTATCCATTAATTTAATGTACAGTGGTGAACAACTTACACAGATAAAGAAAGGTGTAGTTTAAAAAGAATAAACTAGAGCTGTATCATAATCTTTACCAAGTGTTAAAAAATATAAGACTACACTTTGCTTATGAAATATATATATTTATAAATGTTTATAGAGAGAATTTTTACAATAATACACATCTATCTATACAATTTAAGTTAAATATAACCCATGGGAAAGATACAATATCAAATTCAGGATAGTAGTTACCTCTAGAGAAGATGAAAGGGGAAGTAGTTAGATGGCTGAAGTTTTATCAGTATGATTCTTTTTGAAGCTAAGTACAATGTTGCTTTATTTTCAGTAATTTTTTGAGTTATTTCATTGAAAAAATATTAAAGGGTAAATTCTGTGATTGGGAATATGTGTAAAGGACCAGGCACAAAGAAAAGGGTTCAATAAAGGTAACTACGATTTTGGAGTCTGGTTCTCCCCATATAAATTTCATCTACTGAATGAAAACAAACAAACATGATCAATAGTTTCCTCAGGAGGTAAAGCACTCAAGTACTGATGAGCTTCTACTAGGCAGGTTCTGTAAACCTTGGCACTTGGCTATTTGGAAGATACATTTCCATGTAATAGATGAACTTTCTGTAACAGTTTTTCATTTCTCAGGAAGTTATTCAGCTTTATTTTCAATTTGTTCTGGACTATGTATGACTAAATAAAGTCCAATTATGATGTGAATGTTCCTTGATGTGAAATATGTCTTGTGTACCAATGAAAGTCTTTTACTACTTTGCATTGTGAAGAGAGTCTTGCTTTCCTCTTCAGCTCAGCAAGCTGTTAAATCTTACTCACCTTGATTTGAGTATGAACTATTTTACTACAATCCCTCCTGCTGTGTTGAATATGCCTTCCCTTGAGTGGCTTGACATGGGAAGCAATAGACTTGAACAACTTCCTGATACTATAGAAAGGTAAAATAACTATCTATTTATTCTACCAACAAATACTTTGAAACTAGTTATGGGAAAAACAAACAAAAATCAAAAAGGTTTCCAAGCATAAAAGATCCATTTAGTTCTGAATATGCTACTTTTTAATAACAGAATATTTTCATTTACTCCAAATGAGTAAAAGGGCTTTGGGAGAGAAAAACTGGCTGAGTTAAATAAACTAATAAACGTCACAACAAATGCCAAAACACTGCTCCGTGCATGCTAACACTAAGCACTTTAGAAATGGATGAGGTAATTAAGGCATAGAGATATTACCTAACATACTCAAGATCAGTTAGTAAGTGGGCACCAAAACCAAGCCAAACCAAACCCATTGCTATCAACTTGATTCTGACTCATAAGACAGTACAGAGTGGAACTTCCATAGGGCTTCAAAAGGCTGTAAATCTTTTATGGAAACAGACTGCCTCATCTTTCTTCCAGAATGCCTTGGCTGGTGGGTTTGAACCATCTATCTTTTGGTAAGCAGCTGAATGGTTTCCATTCCCATACCACTAGAGCTCCATGGAAGCGCTGGTGGTGTCGTGCCTAAGGCACTTGACTGCTAACCAGAAGGCTGGTGGTTCAAACCCACCAGCCACTCCTCGGAAGGAAGATTGGGCAATCTACCTCCCTAGAGATACTACTGCCTTGGAAACAAAAGGAGGGGTCGCTATGAGTCAGGATTGACTCGATGGCAGTGAGTGACCACTAGAGCTCCTCAGTAAAGTGGGCAAACCAGGGTTTAAACCTAGGCAGCCTAACTCAAGACTATGCTGTTAATTAACCATGATATCACCTTGTCCTAAACGTGCATTTAATACTTTGTGGTATTTTTCTCTTAAGACTCTGAGGATCAGGATAAACAACATTTACTTCAATTCTTTTAAGAAATCCTATGAAAACAGTCAAGAATCTGCTATAGTTCTAGAATATAGTGATTTCATTTCTACCACATGAGGAGAGATATAGTATAGGGAAGCACTCTCTCTAATATTCAGGTAATGTTTAGTCAGTTAACTTAATAGGTATATTGGTTAAAGATGTTATAAAAGGTGACACTTATTTTTAAGTTAATAAAAACCCACCAGCCAGGTTTTATATTACTTGATTAACTGTAAGAATTTTTTTTTTAATCTTTCAGAATGCAAAGTTTACATACTTTATGGCTGCAACGGAATAAAATAACATGCTTGCCAGACACAATCAGCAATATGAAAAATCTGGGTACTCTTGTTCTCAGCAACAATCACCTGCAAGATATTCCAGTGTGCATGGAGGAGATGACAAATCTGAGGTAAAATGTTTCAAACACCAAACTAGTATGTTCCTTCCTGGCTGCAGAACAAAGTAATACAGAAAAATTTTCCTTAATAAATCTGAGTTCTATTTATATAAATGAACATATTAAATTTTTTCCCTAACTTGAAATTCTGTAATTGATGAATGGAAGTCATATAATGCTGATATAATTATTCAAGAAAGCATCTTTCAAATTAAAGTTTTATTGGGATTTACTAGGTTTAAGAAATGTTCTATGTTGATGACATGATGAAAACCATGTTTATAACTGCTAATGAATCTCACCAGCAATATAAAAACCAGAAAAAAGAATGATTATTTTCCTTCTAAACAATTATAAATGGACAATTATGCTACAGATAAAAAGCATAAATAACATTTTACTAAGTTAATTGCTACTGAACTCCTTCAAGTGTTCCCAAAATTTAATTTCCTGATAGTGAGCACAATACATCAGAATTCACACCAAAAACCACAACTTTTGTAACAAATTCATTCATTCATTTACTTATTCAGCAACTACTGAGCAGTGCACTAGGTTGAAAAGATACAATGATCAATAAAACACAAAGAAGTCTACAAAATATGCAGACATTTTTCTATAGGATTAACTATTTAAGATGCATAAAAATTGCTCTTACAAAACTCTGCCACATTAATATATTTTACAAGGTTTAAAAGTAGGTTATCTAATGCTATTCTTATTCTTTTAGGAAAGAAACTTGAAAAAAGTTCAGTTATTGAAATTAAAAAAAATATTTTAGTATAGTATATCACCTGATCTTTCTCCAGGAAAATAAATGTGCACATGTATGGCATCGATAAAAATACTGTTTTTTGGTGAACTGCTAGGTTTGTCAACTTTAGAGACAATCCACTAAAATTGGAAGTAAAACTTCCTCCCAGCGACATCATAGATGAAGAAGAACAAGAATTATTTGGCCTTCAGTTTATGCATGCATATATACAGGAGTCACGGAGAATAGCAGGTATGAGATTTGTATCTAACATACACCACCGATTAAATATTCTTTTTGGCAGAGGAATGTTTGTATAATTGTCTATTAATTGCTTCATGGATCTCTCATTCCATTTTGCCAAATTCTGGTTTCTTGTTTAATATTGTAAAAGGGAAAAAAGGTGAAATTCCTTATCAGTTCTGAGGAGAGACTGGAGAGAGCTGATGAAGATATTCAGTCTTCCAAGTGGAGCTAGGAAACAAATTCTTTGGCCAAGCCCTTGAGGAACAACCAACAAGTAAATAACTGTGATTTTTAAAAGCTTCACTACCTCATTCCATCAATTTGTTTAATGTCAGTTCACTCTAACACGAACTTCCCAGCCATTTCCTCTGTTTCTACAATCCGCAGACAGCCAAAAGCATTTGGTCTAACTAGCAGCTAAAATGTGAGAATCTGACATACAGATTTCAGTCATATAATCTCTGATAATTTGAAATTAATCAATTTTTTTGAAAACTAAGAACGACAGACTTTAAACCAAGATTAGGGGAAGAAGATAGAGCACAATTCTCTGCTAATAAAAACAATGAAACAATACTAACAAAACCCATGGTTTTATAACTCACAAAAATTGGAGTTTTTGACTTAAAAGGTATACTTTAATGCAACTCAATGCATAGTCATAAGTATGCAAAGTCATAACTTCCTTTGTAGAACAAGTGTAATCTGAGCACACAAGAGTTTTTCAGCCAGAGTTTTTTTTAGCAAATCCAATGATTTAGGTTTAGGAAATGCTGATTACCTTTACTATAGCAAGGTCATCAAAACAACAAAATGGAGGATAGGCTGGAGGAAGATAAGAGTTACAAAAGCTTGGTGCCTAGTACTGGAAAGCAGAGGATAAGAAGAGAAGATAGAACTGATGATTGAATGAATATGAGAAAAGGGAAGAGCCTAGGATAAATCTGGATAGTAGTACTGAGAGAGGGAAATGAAGCTGGTTTTGTGGGCAGCATCAGGTGGTAGAAGATGATTAGTTCCAGTTTTAATATAGTAAATTTGATATACCTGTAGGACATGTAAAAGAGAGGCAGTTGTATAGATGAATCTAAAAATCAAGATAGGGTCTGCTGTACCTACAAATATCGCAGGCCCAAGAACAGCTATATGCATACCCACACAGTCACTTTTTCAAGATATATAAAAAGGAAATAAATACTGTTGGGAAAACAATAATGCTGACCAAATGCTAGCAAGTAGAGGGACAAGCTTGTCTTTCCAAGTATTTTGGTCATTGTCAGAGACAATGGGGCGATCTACTTCTGTAAAGATTTACCACCTTGGAAACCCAATGGGGCTCACTGTGAGTTGGAATTTATCACCTTGGAAACCCAATGAGGGTCACTATGAGTCAGAATTGACTCGATGGCAGAGGGTTTGGTTTTTTGGTCAGAGACATAACATTAAGAATAAATGGGCTACAGGATTGTATCAATATAATTCTTATATATGTGTTTCATAAAGCATAACTGAGATTAAACCTTTTGTGGAATATTTTTTATTTCTGGGCACAAATTTTTAAGTGATACAAAACAAATTACATAATGCAAATCAATACTGCCTGATACAATAAAATTAGGTTAATTATTGAATAATGTATTATCTTCATTTATATTCTTTTGTCTGGGGACCTTGATTACCTAACTTAAAAACAATCAAACTAGCTGACTTTAATAATATTTGACACAAAACTAATAGAGATGATAAAATAACAACTTAAACTAAGAGATAATAAAATTAAAGCCTGTCTATTACGTTATTAAAAATAATTCATGAATTACTACTACAACAAACAGCTAACATGTCTTGAGTTTACAGTCTGCGCTCAGAATTGTTCTAAGCATTTTATATGTGCTAACCAAAGGTTGGCGGTTCAAACCCACCAGCCCTTCCATGGGATAAAGATGTGGCAGTCTGCTTCAGTAAAGACTACAGCCTTGGAAACCCTATGGGGCAGTACTACTCTGTCCTACAGGGGTCACTATAAGTCAAAATCGACTCAAAAAATGGGAACAGGTTTGGTTTCTGATGCTGGCAAAAAACCTTGTGAGGTAGATATTATCATCATCATCACCACCATCTCCAATTTATGAGGCAAATGAGGCACAGAGAGATTAAATAGCTTGCCCAAGGTCACAAAGCTGAGAAATCAGTGTTGGAATTTGTACCTAGCCAGTCTGACAAGACACATGAAATTAAACTAAATAAAGTACAAAGGTCAGGAATTAAAGATGGGCTAGCCTTATAATTTACAATTCATAACTGATGTAATCATAGACCTACGGAATAAGCAGTTATCTGAGAATACCAGTATAATCTCTAAAATTAGAAATTGTGGATCATTGTCTTGGCAAAGACACCAATAATTAAGTAAAGACAAATTTTACAAATAAATAGAAATAAATCAAGGATAAAATGTGGAAAAGAGTTAACAGGTAAACCATTTGTTTGGGTTTATTATTTGCCTGTGCATAGACACCACCCATGAAATTAAATAAAGCCTAAATATGAAAAACTTCTGGTTGCTTTAACCAATTTCTAACTTTATTCCCAATTATTTTGTCAAACAGGAGAGAATAATTTTTATATTTGTACTTATACTTGTAAACAATGCCTACTAAAAGATTTGAAATATCTAATTATATTCAGAAGTTATTTGCAAAGTCAAAATTTAATTTGTGAATTATGCTTGTAAGTAATCTGTTTTTTCAGATGTTTTACCCAGATAATTATCCAAGTGAAAATGCAGTGAGATAGCTTTTTTTCCTCCCCTTAAAAATAGCCCTTCAGTTCTGGTATTTGCCACGGACAAATTCTGACAATATACAAATACAGGTATGACCCTGAAAAATGTTAAGGTGATGTCACTGACCGTAAACAACTTTGAAATTTGTTTCCATTTTAAATAATCTCTATTCATTATCCTTTATATTTGCATTGGAAAAAACTGCACACATATGCCAAATTCTCAGATTGGCCCTTGTTACAAACTTGATCATTATCAAAACTTGAAAAATAAAAAAAACTATTAAATAAAAGGAAAATAAATTTCTATTATTAATGCAAATAGAAAGTTAATGTGATAGTTACATGTTGATATGTTATGTGTGTTTCAGATAACCAAGTCAACTGTTGACAACATTACTGGTCTCTAAAAATATGATACATAATATAATTCAAGATGCCCTGCTGAAGAGGACTACTTTGGGAACTTGGTGAATTCTCTAATGTTTGGACTTCTGAAGTCAAAAACAAACCTATTACCAAAGTTTCATGAGACCATGACATTTTTCCAAAGTTCATATTCTGCTATTTAAATTTACATGAATATAAAAAATTTAAAATGCTAGTTTTTGGTGAAAGACAGATGTTCCAAATTTCTTTTCCACTAAGCAACTGTTTCTGGTGATAAAGAATGATTTGGTAGAGCTGTTAATAGTACATTTTCCAAAGACACGAGAGGATCTACATAGTACTGTAACGCAGGAGTGAATCCCTTCTGCTGTAAATACTGTACTCGGCCTTGGTCAATCAGCAATTTACAGAGATGCCCTATTTTCTTCTTTTCTCCAACAGTAAGAAATCTAAATCAGACAAACATACATAAAACAATGTTAAAATTTTATAAACATTTATAAAAAGTCATTTTAGTCACTTCTATTTACAGAGTAGCTATTAAATAACCCATAATATGACAGGTACTATAATCCATGTTTCCAAGATCCATTTAATTTATGACCACAACAAAAAAAAGTATATAATTTGACTTTTTCTAAAATTAGATTATAAAGTATATTTTCAATAATAGATTTTTATAATACTCATCTACAAAGAAAGTATGGCAATAATAAAATATTTCTTCTTTAGTACTGTGCATTACAAAAGTAATCACTTACCCAGGTAAACTATCAAAGCTATCATCTGCGACTCTGTATCCGTCATCGTCATGTTCTTCACTCTTATCATTCTGATTATCTTTTCTCTTTGTGGTAATACTTGAGGCTTCCAAAGATGTTTTCCGCATCCCACAAGTTGCCCAACTACTCATTCGCTGGAAATAGTGGAATTCCACTGCACCAAGGCCTAGAGCCTTGAAATATTCTTTGCCCACATAATGTCTCCAATCACACCTGTGGTGACAACAGAGTGCAATAACAATGCCAGCCACAGGCGTCCACTTCTCTGGGACATATTTTTCATTTCCTTCCTTGGCCAAAGTGTTAATTTCTGTTTCTGTTTTATCATTCTTTATGCGTTTGGCTAAAGGTTCTTCATTCCTTTCCTCACAACTGGCAGCATAGGTTTCAACCAAACATCGTAATGCAAGATCTGCAAACACAATTATGTGGCCCCCCCAAACCACATCATCTTTAAAATAAATACTTTTACATTTACTAAGCAGTACGGTTTTAAAAAACCCAACAACAAAAACCTACTTAGCTTTATATTTGTAGAAATTCTTCCATGAATTATCAACTTTGTTCCTATTTGCCCCTTTTCTCATTATCTTCTCACTTTCTCTAATAATTTATTCTGTAGAAAGTCCCTTTCCCAATTAAACTCCCTAAAGTTTAAGATCTACAATTAGGAAAAACCTGAACTGGCTCTCATTTCTTTGACCTTAGCTGAGGAAATGACTTATATAGAAAAAAAATTATCTATATTTATGTTTCTGAGCATAAGAAATTTAAAGGAAGAAGTAAAGAAGGCAACTTTAATTAGGTTTTTATCAGTCCTTAAACCTAAGATGTTCACAGCAAATAGTGATGAGTTGAGGAATTGTGAAGAGGAGGTCAGGATGTGGAAGGCAGGCATCACCAAGTATTCTCACTATATTTAGCGAGTCATTCAACAAACAGCTACTGAGTACCTCCATTTGCGTAGAATTGAGGATACCACAAAGATTAATACATACAAACTTACAGGTGGATGTAGTCCATGTGAAAATGAAAAAATTTAGTGCATTTTAAAATTAAATAAAGAGATTTTTGAGGACTATAGCTATTTCCCACTGATAACTGCTATATTGTTGACAATATTAGAGATGACTTCAAATACACCCTTCTGTAAAATACGTATTTTCTGTCTGATTAGATTTTCACTGTTTAATCAAAGGATATATATTTTCAAATTTTACTGCCCTAAAGTGCCTAAGGTATTTGGCTGCTAACCAGGTTGGTGGTTCAAACCCACCAGCCACTCTTTGGAAGGAAGACTGCGCAATCTACTTGCGTAGAGATACTGCCTCAGAAACCCAGGGGGGGATTACTATGAGTAGGAATTGACTTGATGGCAGTGAGTTTGTTTTTTTTTTTAATATGTCACAAGTAATATTAAATGATCTGACAGTCTCTAATATATTTAATTAAATATATGAATTCCAGTCAGCAAACATCACTGGGAATCTCCCGTATAGTGAAAGCAACAGCTAACCTATTATTTTGTAAACTATTAACTTCTGGCAAAATATATTCAGCTTCTGTTTTATTTAAGTAAATGATACTCAGAAATGTGAACAACCTGGAAAATGATTAAAAGAATAAAGTTATTTTAGAATTAAAAGGAGTTGTAGTAATCTAGTTCAACCCACCATTTACAAAGAACTAAAGTGACAAAACCACATACTTGGTAAAGAATAAGGGAACATAGCAAATCTTGGCCAAGATTGTTCAATTATTTAAACATTTACTGAGTTCCTGTTATATATCAAGCACTGTGTTAGCATATGTCTTATGTTAAAAAAAATTTGCAGTGTAGTGGAAGAACTATATAGATAAATGAATAATTAGCAACATAACAAGGTAAAGATATGCAAAGGGCAATATGATAAACATTAAGCAGGCTTATCTTAATATTTAAGGAGGTTCCCTCAAAGTGGTAACCTGAAGGACGTGCATAAACTGACCATTTTTGTTTGTTTGTTTGGGTAGGTGGGTGGAATTCCAGGTAGAGTAGAAATAGTATGGTATGTAGGGAAAAAGGGAGCTCTGGTGGCATAGTGCCTAAGGTAACTGACTGCTAACCAGAAGGCTGGTGATTCAAACCCACCAGCCATTCCTTGGAAGACTGGGCAGTCTACTTCCGTAGAAACACCACCTTGGAAACCCGAGATGGATTGCTATGAGTTGGAATTGACTCAAAAGCTGTGAGAGTTTTCAGTGAATAAGGAAAAAGGAGCCCTGGTGGTGCAGTGGTTAAGCACTCAGCTGCTAACCAAAAGATTACCGGTTCAAACTCACCAGCTGCTCCATAGGAAAAAGATGTGGCAGACTACTTCCATAGATTTTGGCCTGGGAAACTAAGGGGCAGCTCTACTCTGTCCTGCAGTGTCACTATGAGTTGGAATCGACTCCACTGCAATAAGCATGTAGGGAAAGCACCCAAGTTTTAATGTTGCTGAATGGTAAAGGCAGGAAGTGGCAAAGAGGAAGACAGAAGCCAAATTATTGGAACTAGTACATTAAATAACTTGGACTTTATCCTATAGAGGTTGAGAGTTACTGGAGAGTTTTAAGAAAGGGAAATGCACATTAAGTGTGTAGTAGATATGTGAATATCAATATATTTAAAGAACAGGTAGGAAAGAAGTCCATGAAAGAAACAGAAAGAATGGCATACCTGTAGGGGAAGAATGAGGAAGAAGAATGTCACAAAAAGGAAGGAAAGAGAATTTCAATAAGAGCAAGCAACTGCAGCAGAGATGTTTAGTAAGATAATAGTAGAGGAAAGAAGGGGGCATTCAGATAGAATGCATAAAAAGAAAAGATATGTGGGCCATGAGAAATAGACCTGAGCAACAGAGATTACATTTTTGATAAACTTGGATTAGATGGGTAGAAGATAGGATGGCAGCTAAAGAAAACTAAGAATAAAAGGAGTGTGCTTCCTTTCACACTCCCCTAAGACAGAACTAGCTTACTTCCAAAAGCTTTTATGACGGTTAAACGAGATAAGGTACATGAATGTAGTCTATTAAGGACAACACAAATATATAGTACTCAAAGCCATTTCCACACCATTTAAATAATGTTTGATGGAGGCTATAAGTTCTCCATATGGATGATGATATTAATAGTTAGGAAGAAGAAAGAATAATAGTTAACATTTATTGAGCACTAATATATGCCAATATTATGTAGCCTAGAAAATTATATATATATATCTCATTAGTCCCATATCCCTATGAGGTAACTAAGCTCTGAAAGTTTTCTCCTTGTGAATATCCCAGAATCTTGATATATACAAACCATCTAGCAGGTGAGGATTCAAACGTTTCCAAAAACTCAGTAGCTTCTGGGATGCAATCATATAGGTTCTATAAATGACTCATTTCCCTTTTTGGTTGAAATATAACCTGAAGAACTTTAAGGCCCCATATGACACAATATTTAGCCACAGAAGTCGTAAATCATCTTGCAAAATGATTAAATAGGAAAGCTCTATATTTGAGATTACATAGGGCCAGTGCTACTACCATGCAAATTGATGGATTATGAACATAAGTGACTGGATTTATTCAAAATGGGGTACTTAAATGGGCCATGATAAGCTAGAAATTAACGTGTTAGTTTACATATTATTAGTCTGTTTACGTACCTGTTGCTACACCACACAGATGCTTTCCAATTCCTACCACAGGTAGTTTTTCTTCTATTAGTAAAGGAACCTTGCCTGAAATAAAGGGGAATGAGAATTTAGTTAGTTCCTTGTGAGATAAGGTAAATTCTCAAAGAAATAAATCATCAGAATCTCTGGATTTTAGCTGAAAGAGATGCAAACAAAAAATTCTCACTTTACAGCTTCGAATAACAGGTTCAAAGATGAAGTGACTTGTTAAGTAACAAAGCTAGTGACCCACAGAGCCACAATTAGAGTCAAATATTTTGACTCATAAGCCAGTGCTTTCCTCTATACCATGCCAAATATTAATCCACTAATAAAAGGACTCCAAAATTTCCCTAGTAGATTTATTTAACATTAATACTATAGCCAGTACATAATAGTAACATATATGTATATTATACGTGTATATTATATACACATGATATTTAGTATAAAATAGTATATTCAATATTATAATCAAAGCTATAACTAGGGCTTTTAATATATCTTGATAATCAAGAATAAGTAATTATTTTAGCTATTCACACTGTTTTGAAAATCGGCCATAATAATTCTATACAAGAAAAAATATTTCAACAAGATAATGAAATATCTGTTGCCATCAAATCTATTCCTACTCATAGTGACCCTGTAGGACAGACTGGAACTGCTCTATAGGGTTTCCAAGGCTGTAATCTTTACAGAAGCAGACATCTTTCTCCTGCAGAGCTGGTGTTGGTTCAAACTGCTAAACTCTCTCAATTGGTGGAACACCAGCGATTAATTCTCTGGAGAGGGTAAAATAGGTGGTCTCTGGATGGAGGGACACCACCAATTGAGCAGTAAGTAGGGTAAAATAGAAGGATTAAGTGAGTATGTATATACTTCAGCTCTTCTTCCCACTGGGTTCCAGAATGTTGGTACAGTGGTTAAACCTTTAGGTCTCTAGGTAGGTGAACAGGAGAGTCTTCATGGGAAATCTAACCAGTCCAGGAAGAAAAATCAAACCTTAAGCAGATCATCCCAGGCTGAAGCTCAGAATCAACAACCCCACCTATATATTCAGATCTTTTAACTACAAATAGACTATCAAAGAGTACCAGATGTTTGAGGACAGTCTCTAACTTGAAAGAGACAGACCAAACAAATGGTAAGAGTAGTA